AGTCAGACTTCCTCCTTATTTCTTGCCCAGAGGTGCAGACTCCTCTACAGACACATCGTCACCTCCGCTTTCACCGCTTCACCTGGAGAGAAACGTGTTTCCTTGGATTGAAAAACGGGGGCAGGGCAGTGTGCAGATCGTACAAGGCTGTTGTTTCTGAACGAGTCCGACTTGCTAACGTAAAATAGAAATAAGAACAAAATAGGCTGGTACGCACGTTTCATAAACGTTGCGTGGGAAACAACGTTCTGCGTAGAATAAGATGATTCCGTACAAATATTAGTAAATGAAGCTCGTCTTGTGCTTTGTACAACTTTTTACAGAAAAAGGCAAAGCTCTCCAAACCCTGGCTGTTAGTTCCTCTAGTTGTACTGTCATAAACTCGAACATCTGACATCCTGAGTCCTGCAGAGACGAAGATGTAACTGGCTTTTTTTGTTGTGTTTCTCTGAGCATGGGAGCATCCCAGCATAGTCACCCATGGCAGTGTGAATATGCTGGGATGTGTCCTCCTGGAAAGATGGCGACTCTCTTGACTGTTTGCACTTGTGAATAATCTTAATAAACTTCATATCATCTGGTAATGACTTCGTAACCTCTCTAATACTGATGGGCAGCGACAGTCGCCCTGGATGCTCCACTAATTCTGCTTTTTTCCACATGCTGACGAACAGTTAATTAAGTGCACTTGATTAAGAGCATCAGGTTGCTACTAAACTCCTGTGGAAGCAGTAAAGTAGTACTTACTTCAGAGGACTGTACAGAGTCCTATGAAAACGTTTGTGGCTACATAGTAGCAGTAAATCTCACTAACAGTTGTAAATAGAACTGAGTGACCATAGCAACAGATGCCTCTGCAGTACTCACCAGAAAATAATCTTCACTCTGATTTACAGGCTGTAGTTTATAGGAATCAGTGTTCAATTTAGCTTCTAATCCGGAAACTTGACAGCAAATGGATTCATTTAAAACAGGAATATTTATAATCTTTGATTTCCTCGTTTCCCTAATTGCATTTTGTGTTGTGGGTGTGTCTGTTTATAGTTTTTCATTTCTAGTTTGGTTGTTTTTTTGTAATTTCACACCCTAAATAATAATAATATGGATAATAAATTGCTTCTACTTTCTAATAAGTTAGACATCGTTTCTTTAGGCCGGCTGTGCTTCCTCACCACCTGCTGCTTCTCATCTGTCAGTCACCGGCTTCATCAAACTCCATTAAGAAATCCTTCGCCGTCAGCATAAGGAAGCCGACCAGGAAGACTGACACTAATCTCGCCCGGCTTCACATCAGCCAGCTCGCCCTGTTGTACTTTGTTGACTTGTGGTCATCTGGAAGTAATTAAGCAGGAAGGTTCAGCTATGGCTTTGTGGACACTGCAGGATTAATACAGCTGTGAAACATAAAGACACTGCTGCTACATGACTGACAGTAACTTAAAGAAGACTTCCATGATGACAGTGCTCGTGTACGGCAAATGACACTAACAGCTAAAGT